GAGCTGAGATTTGGGATTGAATCCAGACTCCACCACTTCCTAGCTGTACAGTTCGACACATTACCTAACCTCACCTGAAAGTTGTTTGAGGATGATAATGTTAGGATAAGCTCTTGGAGATTTTTTGAAGATTACATGGGAAATATGTATAAAGCACATAGCACAATACCAGGCATCTAATAAGCACTCAAAAATGAGAGTCATCATTATTATTATTAACTTTGAGAATAAGATTACTTCATGAATATTAAACTTTTAATCATAAACATATTAAATTTTATTTTATCATTACTTATTGTAGCAACCACTTATAAAGTTATTATTGAAATAATCTGAATAATTTGCATATATTTTAAACTTAATCAGATTTCTGTAATTGTTTTAGTCACTGATGAACTGGTACTCCTCATTTTTTGTTTACTAAGTCTTCTCATATTGTTTTCAAACATCTTGCCATGCATAGATGTGATCTAAGATGTTCTTTGTCTCTTTCAAACAGTTTCTTCCTGTATGATTCTCTAGGTTCACCATTCATCTTAGATCACTTGTCCTTTTTATTTATTTCAGTTCTCTATTTCCTCTACAAAAAAGATAATGAGATGATGCGCTGCATTCACTCTTTAGAAATTTAAAATAAGAAATAATGTCAAAGGATCAGGCTCTCTCCCAAGAGGCTACCCAAGCTATCTAGGGTCTGACCAGCAGTTCTCCTCTCTCAGAAGCATGTTTTGAGAACCCTAGGTATGGGTCCTTTTTAGGATACACACTAATTAACCACCATGGCATTAAAAAAATTTATAGTGAGAACCAGCAATAGCAGGGTTCCAGGCTTAGGCCTACCCAGGAAGCCCAATCATGATTAGAATGTTACTCACAAAGCTGAAAATCAAAATGAAGAGAAGTAAGTAGTTAGACAATGTTGTTTACTGAAATCCAGCTAAAATTGTTTCAAGCATCTGTCTCCACATGATAGATTGATTATCTTGTCAGGAGAATTAAGATACTCAAAGTTCACTGAAGCTCTCTTTTTTGAACCCAGTAGCTTAAGTGGATACTATCAATATTTGCCTCTGTTGCTCTCCTTTTTCTATGGGAAGCAAAATGTATTCAGATCCCCCATTTCCCACCAAAACTTTTCTAAGTGTTTTGGGAATCACCCCTATCACTGTTAATGAATGTGTGAGAACTCTGCAATAACACTCCGGCAAGGGACCATATCACAGTAAGAAGCTGATCAGTGAAATGTTAATTTCTTATGTAGACTTGATATAGCTTCCTGGAAGAACTTGATATAGGTTCCTTGCGGTAGTCACTGGGCAAAGCAGAAAAGAAATTGCGAGGCTTTTCAATTAGTAAGACACTAGAAGGGATTTCAAGAGCTTGAGGAAGGGGGCGGTTCCCTTACAGAAAAGGATTGGTAAGTAGGGATTCCAGAGACAGAGAATGGGTAATTGACTTCAGAGGGCTAGGAGATGTAAGAGGTTCATAGCAAAGCCACCATCTCCCCATTTTCTTCACTGTACCATAGGCTTGGAGGAATATCCATCCCGCTATTTCTCTGTAAACACTCAAATCTAAACAAGGAGGTATTTTATCCAGCATATAGTGAGAATAAGCTAGCCATCTAGAGGAGGGCACACAACCGATATGTTACCTATGGCTTTTTGGCTTCGAAACTACCATCTGAATTACTAAGTAAACTTCATCTGATCCCAGTGTATATTTGCTTCAAGAAATCTGCAGTAGGATTAGGATTCTTCCAGAAAGCCATAAGTAGGCAAAAGCACAGCACCCCAAATGGACTTCCTTTTATAAATTTCCCTTCCCCATTCTATAGAGAGAAGCCTGCTCTGAGGGGTTGGAAAGAAGAGAGGAATTATCAAGGTTAATTTACTCTTAGATTGACTCCTTCTTTTCTTTAAGTGACTAAATTTTGTAGATCTGAAAGGCATATATCCATTTTTTCCTTTAAGATTATCAGTCTATCTTACATTAAATGCTAATTTCAGAATTTTACTCTGTCACAACAATCATAATTCCCTTATCTTTCAAGTTCTTGGAAAGTGACTTCTTGTCATCTTCCAAAGTGCATGTGAGGCATAGTCAGCAATGTTTCAGGTTATAGTTACTGAAACACCTGTTGGTCATGGTTGCTCCAGTAATACACAGAGGCAGGAGATGTACTGTGACCCAGTTCATATGTTAAGAGGTGTAAATATTGGCAATGTTGGGATTCTAGTTTCATTTCTAAAGATTTGGTTTGAAAATCCCCCATCCTTTGAACAAATGTGTCTTGAAATAAATTAAAGTATAGACTAGGTTTAACCCAAGCATTACTCTCTAAATTTATTCTTGAACTTGATGGCAGAAAGCAAAGAGATATAGATGCAGGTCATCATGTAATCCAGGTATCTGAATTAAAGACATCAGGTAGCGTTTTCTCACACCTATATTTTTTTGATGCCTACAATTTGAACTTGATTATTCATGTTGTAGCAATCTTCCAATAAATACTTATTGGGCTGCTGAAACCACTCTTTGATGTCACGTTTTACTTTCTCAGAAAACACACCCCAATAGCTGTCATTTGTTTGCAATTTCTAAATGTTGACTTACCCACTATGACGCAGAAGTTGTAACCAATATATATGCCACAAAGCCCCACGTTTTTCACCCCGCCTGGGTTAAGACTATTAAGGTTATGTGTGAAAATGAAACACCGAGACTGCTCTTTTGCAATTTTCCTGTTTCAGAACACGTCTTGAGCAACATACGGCTTAGTGGTACCATCATGATAGGGAATTTGTGTGCTCAGTACAGACTCTACCTCAGCCCTGTTTTATATACCTTTGACTCTTGAATTTGCTGGATCACTCTGGTTCTCTCATCAAATATCTTGATGGTCTCAGAATTCCACAAAATAGGAAATAATTGTTCAAAATATTTGCTACTATGTCACCTGAGATTTTTGGTGGACCAAGGAGTTTAAAAAAGAGTGTAATAGGACCTCAAATATCCTATCTGTCTTTTAATCTCCA